AGTGCGGAGCCAGCCAGTGGGCACGAAATCACATCGCTTGTTCTGCCGGTCCCTCCTTCGGATTTGCGCTTGCCGCTTGGGGTCTAATTCTTGGCGATTAATATCCATCGCCGCAGTCGATTCAATCCTTGTGCGCATACGCAGGTGATGCCACGGCGAGGGAATGCGTCCGCTGCTTCCTCGGATGTTGTCGTGGTCCATTCTTCGGCCTGTTCGCTTCACCGTAAATAATCGTGGATTATTTACTGTTGGCTGGTTTGGTGTGAGAGAAAAATATTGTTCCAGCTTATAATCCACGATCGTTTACGATTAGCTGGTTTGGTGTGAGAGAAAAATATTATTCCAGCTTATAATCCACGATCGTTTACAACCGAACAGGCTGCTTGTCAGCAGTGAATGCAGGTGATGCCACGGCGAGGGAATGCTACTGACTAACTACTTGGCCGGCACGCATACGGCATGGCGGCCGCCGGCCAATCGGCAGTCGCGGGAGCAACAAGGACGTACTGTCAAGGACTAACCGTGCATCCAATTCTATCGGTTGCCCATCGCTAGCTGTCTGGTGTCGGGATTATGAAGAGAGATTAAGATAATGTAGCTGATTTTAGCTGAACATATCTGAACCACCGACAGCCCACGAGGACCGTGCTTTGTATCCTCAAGTCTTTAGAGATGTTTGCCCGTTAGTTGGTTAGTTTCTGGGCTGATAAGCCCGACTAGTGCTGATTTATTGTGAGAGGAAAATACTGTTGACTGTCTGATAAATCCTGACTGAAACCGACCAGCGAACAGACTGGTTGTTATACGAGTGCCTCCTGTTCCTACGTGTAATTCCTGTAGCTGTAGGACTAGACTGTGTCCTTTTTCTTTTTAGGAAGTTCATGACGAGTGCACAGTCCACTCAACGATCGACCTGCTGTACAGGTTGTCCACTCGGACATTGCTCGATTTCGATAATCACAGTTACGAGCTTCTTCCATGTTCCATGTTCTTGTTGCTTTCTGATCATAGGAACATGCCAGAGACATAGCAAATTAGCAATGCACGACGGTAGCTGCACCATACGCTATCATATAGCCATACACTTGTAAAGTTGCAGGCTTGCAGCACGCAATTGCGGGGTACAGCAGTACACGACACATCGTCCAGCTCCACCGCGTGAAGCCGAAGCGCGCGACACGGTGCCCATTCCGCCGCTAGGCGCTAGCCTAGCTCACGCCGCGCCGGTCTGTTCCCCAACAGGGACTAGGCAACCACCGGATCGATCGGGTACGGTCCGGCCGTCGTCAAACTATTGAGAGCATCCATTATGCCCAATGTAACCACGTCCTACGTGGCGTGTCCCCATCGATAAATAGCCGCCGGTCCGGTGCACGCCGTCGCAGCGCGTCTTACAACCGTGTGCCGGACGGAATGGCGGCCATCGTAGTCACGCTCCGTTGCATGGCGTGGCCGTGGCTGCTGGCGTTGGCATGCTTCGCCTTCGCCTTCACGGCCGCGTCGGCTGAGACGGCGGCGGCGTACATTGTGCACATGGACAAGTCGGCCATGCCTCGGGCGTTCTCGAGCCACCAGCGGTGGTACGAGTCGACGCTGTCCGCGGCGGCTCCGGGCGCCGACATGTACTACGTGTACGACCACGCGGCGCACGGGTTCGCGGCGCGGCTGCGGGGCGACGAGCTGGAGGCGCTCAGGCGCTCCCGCGGGTTCGTGTCGTGCTACCCCGACGACGCCAGGGTGGTGCGCCGCGACACGACGCACACGCCCGAGTTCCTCGGCGTCAGCGGCAGCGCGCCGGGGGGACTGTGGGAGACGGCAGGGTACGGGGACGGCATCATCGTGGGCGTGGTGGACACCGGCGTGTGGCCTGAGAGCGCCAGCTTCCGAGACGACGGCGGGCTCGCGCCGGTGCCCGCGCGGTGGAAGGGCGTCTGCGAGTCCGGCACGGCGTTCGACGGCGCCAAGGCGTGCAACCGGAAGCTCATCGGCGCCCGCAAGTTCAACAAGGGAATCATCGCCAACGAGAACGTGACCATCGCTGTTAACTCCCCGCGCGACACGGATGGACACGGCACGCACACCTCGTCCACGGCCGCGGGATCGCCGGTGCCCGGTGCGTCCTTCTTTGGCTACGCACCGGGCACCGCGCGCGGCATGGCGCCTCGCGCTAGGGTGGCCATGTACAAGGCCCTCTGGGACGAGCGCGCGTACCCGTCCGACGTACTCGCCGCCATCGACCAGGCCATCGCGGATGGCGTCGACGTCATCTCCCTCTCCCTCGGTTTTGACCACCAACCGCTGTACCAGGACCCCATCTCCATCGGCGCGTTCGCCGCGATGCAGCGGGGCGTGTTCGTGTCCACCTCCGCGGGCAACGAAGGCCCCGACCTCGGATTCCTCCACAATGGTACGCCGTGGATGCTTACCGTCGCGGCGGGTACGGTGGACCGGGAGTTCTCGGGCGTCGTGACCCTCGGCGACGGCACCACCGTCATCGGCGAATCACTGTACCCGGGCAGCCCGATTGCGCTCGCGGCCACCGCGCTCGTCTTCCTCGACGCGTGCGACAACTTCACGTTGCTCTCCAAGAACCGTGACAAGGTCGTCCTTTGCGACGCCACCGCCTCCCTGGGCAACGCCGTCTCTGCATTGGAACTGGCCCAAGTGCGCGCGGGCTTGTTCCTGTCCAATGACTCGATCAGGGTGCTCTACGAGGAGTTCTCGTTCCCGGGCGTCATCCTGAGCCCACAAGATGGGCCCCTGCTGCTCCAGTACATACGAAGCAGCCGCGCGCCAAAGGCTGCCATAAAGTTCGAGGTGACCATCCTGGGAACGAAGCCCGCGCCGATGGTGGCGGCGTACTCGTCGCGCGGCCCGTCGGGGAGCTGCCCGACGGTCCTCAAGCCAGACCTGATGGCGCCGGGCTCGCTGATACTGGCCTCGTGGGCGGAGAACATCAGCGTAGCCTCCGTCGGATCAACGCAGCTGTACAGCAAGTTCAACATCATCTCCGGCACGTCCATGGCGTGCCCACACGCGTCCGGGGTGGCCGCGCTGCTCAAGGCCGTGCACCCGGAGTGGAGCCCGGCCATGGTCCGGTCGGCGATGATGACGACGGCCAGCGCGCTGGACAACACCGGGGCGTCCATCAAGGACATGGGCAACCGCAACCACCCCGCGTCGCCGCTGGCGATGGGGTCCGGCCACATCGACCCGACCCGCGCCGTGGACCCGGGCCTGGTCTACGACGCCGCGCCGGGGGACTACGTCAAGCTCATGTGCGCCATGAACTACACGGCCGCGCAGATCAGGACCGTCGTCGCGCAGTCGCCGTCGTACGCCGTCGACTGCACCGGCGCGTCTCTCGACCTCAACTACCCGTCATTCATAGCGTTCTTCGACCCCGACGGCGGCGCCGTCGAGCGGACGTTCACCAGGACCGTGACCAACGTCGGCGACGGGCCTGCGAGCTACAGCGCCAAAGTTACGGGCTTGAACGGCTTGACGGTGATCGTGAGTCCGGACAAGTTGGCCTTCGGCGGCAAGAACGAGAAGCAGAAGTACACGCTTGTGATCCGGGGGAAGATGACGAACAAGAGCGGAGATGTGTTGCATGGTGCGTTGACGTGGGTGGACGACGCGGGCAAGTACACCGTCAGAAGTCCCATTGTCGCAACCACCGTGAGCTCAGATCAGTTTTAGAATCCCGACGTATATATAGCATATATATTTGTTCAAGTCGATATTAGCTTGAGGCAAGTAAAGCTATCTTGACAACAACTGAGCAAACATAACTGTTCAGTATGAAAATTGCTTTGCATAAAAGTATAAAACCATACTACATCATTTATGAGCTTCATTGCAAGTGACTACACAATTGTTGACCTTTTAATCATCATACGTCCATCATTTATGCACTCAAATGCTTCTCTCTCAGTGATGAGTTTCATGGTATTGTTTCCAAAACTGCCATGTCATATAAAATAAAATGAAATATGGATGAAACACCCACTCTTAATGCAGAGTTTCATTCTATGGTTCTATAGACATTTAATTACACGACTCATAGAGAGTTGGTAATCGTGCCAAGAAAGTTTCATCCTCATGAAACTCACTTCTCTCTCTTTTTAAAACGTTGCCACATCATTAAAACACTTATGTGACATCTTATTAAATGCAAATAAAACTATGATGAAACTTCCACTGAGACTAACCTCAGTGTCGAAAGTTCCGCATGATGAAAAAGAAGAAGAAAACGAAGCATCTCAGATGACCTTGTTGTAGCTAAGTAGACGACAGGTGACTATAAGCATGCTTTGATTTCCATGTAATCCTCTAAAAATGGATGACGATTTAGAGGGGCTTACTATATGTCACCTTACCAACACGACTCAAAGCAACCAAAAAATTTATATGATTAACCTTTCTTCCATGCAACTAATGAGAATTTTAGAGGTGCTTACTGTACGTTGGGACTAGGACACAAAACAGGCGGCAAGAGAAAAGAGTGACACCTCACACCAACGGACAACCAACAAGGGGTTTCGCCCCCTCTTTAGGACTCCTTTGGAACATATTAATTTCACAGAATCAATTTATTTTCAAAGGAAAAACACGGAAAACAGGAAAAAAAAAGTTTCACGCTTTCCAAAGATGGCTTAATCTCCCACAACAGCAAGGGCAATGAACGAGTTTCTATTTGTTCCATCCAAGGTGCCTTAATCTCCCACAACGGCAAGGGCAAGGAATGAGTTTCTATTTGTTCCATCGACAGTAGTTGTAACCTTAGAGCCCTGTTACTCATATTTCTTCTTAACAAAATTTGTTTACCATGTCCGATTTTGATCTTACGGCACTGGACCAAGACTAGAAGGCAAAGACAATACATCGCTATTACAGACACAGTTCAAACTTAAGCTGGAAAGATGATTTCACAATAAAAACTGCAATACTAGGTCTCCTGCCTTCACTCTGATCCAGTATTGATGTGTCTCCTGCCTTCACTCTGATCCAGTAGCCATCAATAACTCTCCTTCGCATACTAGGTCGGCACCAACGTAAGCTTTCCCTTCCATCTTTGCAATTCCAAATCTCTTCTGCAGCTTGATCAGAGTCATTCTCATGATCAAGGTGTCTCCAGCAATCACAGGCTTCCGAAACCTTACTTTATCAATCCCCGCAAAAAAGAAGTTCTCTCGAGATCCACCTACTTCAGGCTGCAACATCACTATTCCACCAATCTGGGCCATTGCCTGCAAATCATGGTAAACAATTGTCTCATACCAGTTAATCAGAAATCTGTTCTGCTCTGTGTTTCTCCAGTTAATCAGAAATCTGTTCTGCTCTGTGTTTCTTCAGAAGAAACACAGACCAGAACAGATGACGCATACATAAACTTGTATATCAAAGATTGGACCTTCTATTCTACTGTTATTCCAAAATGCATCAAGCAGCAGAATTACCATGCTTGCTACCTTAGCTTACATCCTATATGTAAACACAAAGACCTGTGTCATACTAATCCCTTATAAATATAACTTGCAGTTGATTGTCTACGTCAGTTTATTAACTCTGCAACAATCTGAAACTATGCGTTTGATTGACATCAGTAGCTTCACTTTTAAAAGGTATGAAAATGCTGGAATAGAGCTACTGAATGACAAGATCCAGCACCCATGGTCTAGCATCCATCAATTCATAGTACACATGTGAATGGTGAATTCAACTAAACTTGTTCTGAATTAGACCAAAAAAGAGTGGCACTCTAAGATTTTGACCAGTATAGTTTCAGAAAAATGTATGGTGATGTAACACCAATTTAATCTACACGTCAATAATGATGAAACAATTGCATCTCAGTAGGCAATATAGGTATCAAAAAAGGAAAAATAACGAGAATATCATATACCTCAACCATGAGAACACCAGGCATTATGGGTCGTTCAGGGAAATGCCCTGGGAAGAAGTTATCATTTATTGTCACATTCTTGATTGCAACAGCATATTCTCCTGGTTTGTAATCAATAACTCTGTCAACCAGAAGGAACGGGAACCTACATGCATATCAACAAAGAATACAGGCACTTAAACACAAAAAGCTGGAAAGTTGAGTATCTTCACTGCTTACAAAAACAAAAAATGGTGGTGGTGGCCGGTGGCGGCTGGTGGTAGCAGGATCTTCCATTGTCCGATCTTTATATGCATATGTATATGATAAAAATGATCCTATATGATTTCCTTTGCTTTTGTGATATGGTAACAAGATTACTTAAGAGTTCTATGGCTAGATTAGAGGGAGTCAGTAAACAAGTTTAGTAGATAGACTCCATTTATTTGAAAACTATGGGAACCAACGAGCACCCGACTACTCACTCACCTATGTAGCATCATCACTATGGCTAGGGAATACACAAAAAAGCACGTAGTACGTTCAATTTTACATCGTGCAACTTGGCTTGTATGGTCTTCCAAATTGAAACTTGACTACAAATATCTCTTGTATGATAATTTTACTGATAAAAAAAATCATGACCATAAGAACAAAATTTGAAACAAAAAAATCTAGTTGCATCACTTTAGCCTAAAAATTTAATGGCATTCACCGTTCAAAAAGAAACTTAGAAGGCTTGAAATGTGCAGTAGCTAGGCTAACTTGAACATTTCCGTATGCAAATAGACAGCTCTGAACAGTTTTCTTTAGAGCATTGGTCAAGAGCACACTTACAACCAAAGCCAGAAAGGGCGCCATTTGGTCATAATCAACGACATAACAATTCTTTAAGAAATGTTAATATTATCTTTTCATGACAGTGGTGCGGAGTTATTTATTTATTTTATTTTCACAATCCACATGACTGGTAAAGAGGGGTGAATCCATCAGAGGAGGGAAGTCATACAAATAGTCAGTTTTATAGGTAGGAAGTTTGTTAAAAATTCAAAGCAATACAGTATACATTTAAATCACATGATCAGAATTTAATTCTTAGGCTAAAAAATATAACAACCCGTTTACAACATACAAGTCATGCATTTTTACTGACAAAGCCCTAAAATTCTAATTAAGAAGTTCTGTACCTTCATTTGGCACATTTTTAGACATCTGCTAAGCAAATCTAGGCACATAGTAAGCCACAATGAAAAATGTAGGAACAAATGAACAAATACCACCCACAATAATTGACTCACCTATGTGGCAGGATGTCACGGATCTGGTTGATGTCCATGACAGTTGGGAAGGGAGGGAATCCTGAAAGGGGACCACACCGCCGACCGCCCCAGTAAGCACACGCATCAGTATTAAACATGTCCGAAAAGCAACAGCAAACACACAAATACAAATGAAACGACAGGCATGGCAAGCAGAAGCGGAAGTACAGTCACCGACTTTTCTCTATGGGCGTCTCGGCCTCGAACTTGTCTCCGGCCGCGGCGCGCCGCGCGACGAGCGGCCTGCCGGAGGGCGCAACGAAAGCAGGCGCGCGGCGTGAGAAGCGGGGCGGTCGATAGGGAGGCCGGCGAGGTGATAGAGCACGGGGATCTCGACATGGCCGCGGGTTCCATCGGCGGGGGGGGGGCGGAAGCGCGTGCTATTTTGAAGTTGACGAAGCAGGGCAGGGGAGGAGAGCGGCGGGGGCGACGCGATGCCGATGCGTACGAGGTGGCCAAGGTCGGAACAGGTTTTCAGCCGGGCTTTGGAAACTTCAGCCCATTTGGATCAGCGAAAAACTCCAAAATTTTCTGGCCGCCGCCTTTCTGGGGGCTGTTTTTGAGAGAATTTCCTTCTTGCCATCGAAACTTATAATGATTCTTTGATTGCTATTAAAAATTATAGCATTCCTTAACTGTCCATTTTTATCTCTTCTTTGCCATTACCACTCATTAGCAATTAGAGAAACGAGTTATCCAAATAGATGACAATTAAGAAAACAAAACACTTATATGCAATGGTGAAGGCAACGGATAAAAACTTATGAATTAATGACCGTTAAGGAACAATATAATTCTTAGGCTCTGTTCACTTCTCTTATAAACCGTACTTTTCAGCTTGTTTTTTTAGCCGGAAGAGTATTTTTCTCTTACGATAAATCAGCCGGAACAGTGTTTCGGCTTGTTTTTTTTTACGAAGCGAACGGGGCTTAATGTTAACCAAGGAATTATTATAAATTTTGATGGCAACAAGGGAATTTCCTCATATTCATTTCCCTGATCCTACCTGGTACGGCCGACTAGCCCGGCTGAGGTCAGCTCAAGTCCGACTCCCATCGTATAACCTCGTGTGTTTGGTTGTCGTGTAAGCCTTGCTGAGTTGAGATTGTATATGATAGCACATGCATACGTCACCTTGTATCCAAAATATGGTGGCATTCTCTTTTCCCTTGTTGGCATTTCATCTAGCAATTGCTTAGCATTGACTTCGGAGATCAATATCATTAAAATATAAAAAGAATGCTTAGAGCTAGCTTATGAGTCACCCATCGCGGGTGCCCTAAGAATATGTTAAGATTCATTATTTAGTGATCAATTTATGTTAATCTCATCATCAGCAACTGCTAATGATAGTTCCAGAATAGGCATAGAGAGGCACCTTTTCGTCAACAGACAACCGCCCCTTGGGCTTGTATATATGTACATACACTGTTCATCAATAGAATACATTGGTCACTTTCATCCGATTACTTTTCACTTTAACATGTTATCACGCACGCGCACAACCGCTGACACTGAGAAGCCAAGAAGGGAAAGGAGGGAGTTGGCCGGAGGACAAGCCGGAGAGTTCACCAGACTCGCAGTAGGAGCAGGAATCGCCCTCCACCCCAAGGTACGGGATGACGACGCCTTTACCTTTCATGAATGCCATGGTTGATTCCATCACCGACACCGTGGAGACCGCCATTCTTCGTGGGCACCACGCCAGAGGACTTCGCCGCTACATGTTGCAGGGCACGGTTCGTCGCGTGCTCCACGGCATCCACCACCACCAGACCCCTCCTCGTCGCTTCCATAGGATCCGCACTGGAGAGAGGGGTGGTCACCGTTTGTCACCGCGCCCAGAGCTGCTGTTCGCCCCCCGCGTCTGCCCGGAGTATGGCCCGGCCATGTTCATCAGGCGCGTGGGGGCGCCGCCGCCGATGCCGAGGCCACTGGTGACGCTGCCACCACCACCACCACCAATGCCATCGCCCCCCTCTCGTGCTGCCTTGGAACGGAGGTGGTGGTACCATGGCCGCGCACCGTGGGGCCCCTCCGCTCCTCAACTGCAGCAACGGAGCAGAAAGGTGTCCGACGGCTTCGCCTATGACCTCGACGTCGCCCTCCCGGTGGCATCTCCATCGACCCAGACGCTCTCCTATGCCGACGTGGCGGCCAACCGCCACTGTGGCCTACGTCGGACCGCCCTCCCGCTCGTGAACGCCCTCGGAGCTAGTTACCTCTCCTCCTCTAACGAGGAGGGGCGGTTCCCCGCCTTTGAGCGGCCTGGGAAGGGCCGGTGGGGGCGAATCCGCCATTCCTGGCTTGCAGCGACGACCCTTGTGGCCAGAGCTCGCTGGGGATATGCGGAGTTTGCCCCACCGGCTGGCCTCCATGGTCGGAGCACGGGCTTCGGCTCGAGCCCGCCATGGGAGGAGGAGAGGAGGCACAAGACGGCGTCTACACTCATGAGCCATCTCAATGTTCTTGATTTACTCAAATGTCCTCTCATCCACGGCATCATGAATGGCACTAAGAGCAATATCATTGGTTTGGAGAAGCACTTCTTCAGCTGTGGAGAGAGCTTCTAGATTATCTACCTCAATCTTGGTCTCCACCACCTTCCATACCTTTCTATTGATTGACTTAATATAGGTGGTCATTTTTGCCTTCTAATATGGGTAATTTGTGCCATCAAATTGGGGTGGCTTCTTGGTCTTGTTGATTTGAGCCATTTTGATACCGAAGGTTGTTAAGCCTCAAATCACGGTGACCACGGCTCTGATACCACTTGAAAAGGTCCTAATGGCTAGAGGGGGGGTGAATATCCTATAAAAATTTCTACAACAACACTTAAGCCAAGTGGTTAGACAATTATGAAGCGAAGCGAGTGTTGCACTAGCCTACTCAAAATACAAGCCTCCTATCCACAATTCTAATTAACTATGATCTCTAAATCACACAAGAGGCTAAGCCACTACCTCTAAGTTAGTGAGCTCTCAAAGACTAACTAAAGAGCCTCACTAACCACTAGACAAGACACAAGCTAGCTCTCAAAACTAATTACACTAAAGAGCTTAGCTACACTAAAAAATTAAATGCACAAGAGAGGTAGGAGGGTGTAGGATCTCTAGTTAGCCTAGAGAGGGGTGAATAGGCCTGTTAAAACAAAACTTAAGTAGATGTCAAATTTCACCTGCGGCACTGCCGCTCTGACCTCGCGGCACTGTCGGACAGCGGCACTACCGCACCTACAGACAACTTCGAGTCACAATTCAAAATCAGTGAATGAAAACTTAGATTAGAGGAATTCCTTAGCTTTCTGTAGGTACGAGGTTCACAGATCGAGAGCTAGAATTGGGAGAAACTCTACACACAAGTAGATTAGCTATAAACCCTAGAATCTACCTCAACAACAATGTGAAATGCAAGTGAAGTAAATCAAGCATGAGGTGACACAATGATTTATCTCATGGTTCAGCTCACCACCAAGGCTTACCTAAGTCCACGTTGTTGAGGTTTTCACTAAGGCTAGGGCTTTGCAACCCTTCCTCATTCTCAAGTCAAGAGAGTTACCTCTTGAGATGAGGGATGAGTTTACTTAGCTGCAAGAAATGGTTACAAACCTTCCGGGGCTGCCACACAAGTTGGCAAGCTCCACGGGCGACGCTCTAGCAGGCTAGGAGCCAAGCTCCAAGAGTAACAAACACAACCGCCAGCCAAAACATGAACCAAGGCTCTTTAGGCTTTGGAAATCAGTGAATCTGCTCTCTAATCGAGTTTGGCATCTTTTTCTCTCGAGGTTTGATGGGCAAATCAATGGAGAAGCTTGGGAGCTCAAGGTCACGAATGGAGGAGAGAGAGATGAGCGCTTTTCTATTCTTGGGCGAACTAAATGGTTTTTAGAGAGAAGAGAGACGTTGGAGAGGAAGGAAAATGGTATAAATACCCCCAGCCCCCAATGGTCACTTAAGTCGTGGCAGTGCCGCGGCTCAAGTGCGGTAGTGCCTCTCTCTAGATGTGGCACTACCACACAAGGCAAGATAGCAATGATAAGAGTGAAGTGCTGGTTGTCTTGGCTAAGTAACTGAGGATGTAGGTGTAAGATAGAGCACTTAGTAGCACATGTTAGCTCAAGCATTGCATCCCCTTTAGTGTATGGCTTTTCCTATACTCAAATTTAAAGTATAAAAGAATTTAAACCTCCTTTGAGTTTGAAGCCATCAATATTTGTAATTGGGGGTACCTCCATTTCGTATAACATCCTCGATTATATACTCCCTGCTTATCATCTCGATAAATCTCATTAGTCTTCTAATTGCGTGGTCATTATCACCAAAACCCACAATTAGGGCTTGATTGCACTTTTAATCTCCCCTTTTTAGTGATTGATGACAACCCAATTAGAGCTTACAAAAGATATGAAATACAACTGAGATTTTTGAGCCATGGATGTAGAGCCTCCCCCTAAATGTGTGAATGGAGAATTGAATTCTCAAATTGGCATTAGAAGCCAAGATTTACATTTTAGTAAAAGCGATGGGGCTCCCCCTACATTCATGCTCCTGTGGGGTGTGGCAAACTATGACAAATAAATAAACATGATGCAAATGATAGTTCATGCACAACAAAATAGCTATGACAGTTGGGTGCGGCACTGCCACTTCATAGCCGCAGCACTGCCGTAGAGCGGCACTGCCGGACCTAGGTGCGGCACTACTGCACTTGCTGTAATAGCACAGGTGAAATCAAGCACCACACAGTATGTAACACATATAAAGAGGTACATTCTAATACAGTTATATGACAAGTTACATCATAGATCAATACATGTCCATATCCCATACACATAGAGTACTTAGGTAGCATTTTTACATAAATAGAGTTTAGAGCGACTCTCAAACTCTCACCTAACGAAGACTACTCTCAACGGATAGAACATAAAGCTCCTACTATAGCAACCTCTCCATGGCGTCGAAAAGTTGTTGACCCCTCTAATTTTCTCCCCCTTTGGCATAAAACACCAAAAAGAGAAGAAAAGAAGAAAGACTAATGAAATAACTCATCTTTTTGGATACCCTCCCAATTGACATCATCTCCACTAGCAGCCCTACTACCACCGGCAGCAACACCAAGATTGCCATCATGATCGTCGTCGTCGTCGTCGTCGTCGTCGTCGGAGGACACCACCACCCTCCCTTGGTGATTGGTAGTCGAAGTGTGGCGCTGGCGTCTGGTGCTCATCCTCAAGGATTGCAAGGTCGATGCCAAAATCGTGTGAGGGTCAAGCTCTGGCTGCTCTTGCTGCTCATCCTCCTCATCACGCTCTGAATCCATGTTGAAGAGGCTAGGGAGGTCATCAAACCTTGGCGGTGACTCAACTAGAGGAAGGGGTGGCAGCCCTGCTCGCTCTCTAGCCTCTTGGTTGACCTCACAGTTCTCCAACCGGTCCTCATAGGCCATTCTTGCTGCATAGGTGCAAGTGGTAAAAATAGCCTTGATCCATTTCTCAAACTTCTCTGTCTTCTTACCTTTGCGGGACCTAGAGTGAGAGGACTCGGGTATGTCCTCAGCTGAGGGAGAGCATCTCACTTCCTTGCTAGCACCTGAGGCTTGGGTCTTCTCAATCTTGTAGATGGTGTGGAGACCATCTTTATCAAACTTGTAGCCAGTGACCCTTTCAATCATGAATATGAGATAGGGAGCATAGGGCGCCCCTTTCTCCTATCATCCATGGCAATCCTCAGCTCACGCCACAAGAAATAAGGGATATTGAACCTGTCACCTCTAGGAGCAAATCTAGCAAGCACATTCCTCACATAGCCATTAAGATCTAAAGCTGCTCCATCCTTGAGATTTATGGTGTGCTAGATTAGGTTGTTCAAGATGTAGTAGTAGCTTTGCAAGCCACTAACTTTGCCATCTGCACTTCTCCTGTCAATCCATATGTAGGCAATGTCTCTGATCTCTGCCCTAGACTCATCATGGATATAAGTGAAGCCTTGCTCCTTCTCACCAAAGCCAAGGATCCGACTAAAAGTCACAAAGTCAACACGGTAGTGTCGTCCCTCAGTCATCTAGTGTATCTCATCGGTATATATGTCATAGAAGAAGGTAGTATGGAACTGGTCTAGCACTTCCTCATTCCAATTATACCTGAAACTCATGAGATCAGAGAGGCCAAAGTCCTCACAAGCCCTGATTACTCTGTTGAATTCAGGCTCATTCTTCTCCTTTATTTCCTCCTAGTCAACATATTGCATCGACAATCTTGGACTTCTTTGAGTTGAAGATCACTAAGGCATAGAAGTTAGAATGAAACTCATTCTAGAATCTGTAGTCCACCCCCAAATCCTTTGGCTGCTCATAATGATTGTTCTCACGTGCTTCTTCTACCATCTTCTGCTTTCCTGCATAATTGAGCACGGGATGAGCACGGGTGTCAACTGGACGCCTCACAATCACCTCCTCAGGATACTTGGTGATATAGGCTCTATCAAACTCCTCAAGGTGAGGAGGAGTGTCTGGACAAGCCCAGGAGGAAGGGTGTGGCCAGCCCTCTCCAAGTTCTCCTCCTCCTGGATCATCTGATCCCTCCTCCCCCTGTCTCTTACAGCTCCTCTAGCTGCTACACTACTACTACCATCAGCTGTCCTCCCACGACCATGACGAGGAGGGTCCTTGTCTCACGCCTCGGTCATTTTC